AGGTTGCGGTAGTGGCATCGACGATGCGAGGAATGAGCGAGCTCCCGATGAGTCAGCGTCGGGCTGCGTTAAGACAACGCGAGGAGAGTTGGGGGCGGACGAGGCCGCACGAGGAGAGCTTGGGGCGGACGAGGTCATACTGATGACTAGGTCGAAGAACTTGGACGAACTGTAGCTTTGGTCTTGAGCAGAGAAACCGAAACTGAGTGGTGCTGGAGTCCGCACTACCTTCACGGGATAGGCATACCCAAAATCTTGGCTTGAGCTGCGCTGACTTGTTAACTCCCTCTGCCTCCGAAACCTCTATTCCTGTTACCACAAATGCCAATTTTCACAGCTACACGGTCGTTGGGCAGTCGATTATGGTTTGGTGTTGGCCCTCAGCACGGTCTTGTAGAGGCAACGGGCTGATTCCCCACCGAAAGATAGGGGCAACACCTCTGACTTCACTGGAGGTTGTGTAGTTGCTTGGATCCGCTGATAATCCTAGTCGACAGAGTGGCCACTGATTCCTGGCACAATCTTGTGTACTGCTTGAAAGTATCCGATGCCCAGCGACCGTGAAACTGAATTGTCAAAGTGTCAGTGCCTGCGCGATACATGTGCGTTTCCCCTCCTGCCCTGAGTGAATGCGCGCTGTACACCCTAGGGTCATTTCCTGTACTTGCCGCCGCTTGTCGGATTGCTTCAGATACTTGGTGACCCGAGACGCACTCAGGAACGCCATCTTCATTAGTGTACACTGCCGCGGGAATATCGGCAGGAAGTGAACGCCTTGCCTTAAGCAGGCACAGAGCACCCAGCACTGGGCACACGAACGGGTGTCCCGAGCGTCGCAGAAACCGTCTTGTAGGGTCTCCTTGTTGGTTCGTCTTTGATCCGGTAAGCCGAATGTGCACTGCCGACGCATCCTTCGCCTCGAGAGTTGGTTGATCGCTCGAGTCAAGAACGGTAATGTCGTTAGCCTTCAGAGCAAACCATGCAAACCTGTTGGAGCTCACCGCTGCGATCTCGGAGCGTCTCAGAAGGAAAAAGAAAGCCAGACACAGTACCCCCCAAAGAGCTTGGTGAAAGGGCTTCTCCATGTGAAAGGAGTGAAAGCACGTCTCCAGCAACTGGATGGAGACCGGAGCCTTGTGCCTCACCGGCGTGTCGAGGCGACTAATGCCCTTGATAAGCATGCGAACCTGTGGATGGTCAGACGGGAAGTGTAGGCCCGCGGCAGCGAAGAAATGTCGAATAACCGTAAGCGTGGCCGTAATTGTTGCACTGCGCACTGGTAGGCCGGATCCATAGCCTTCGCGAAATCCCAGCAGTGCGAAATCGGTAATGTGCTGAATGGATGCGCATAAGGACATGGGCTCGAGTGTCGGATGAACCCCCCGACGGGAGCACCAGACCAGCCACTTTCTCAGGGCCCTGGCATACTGGCCGAAGGTGGACTCTGCAACGGAGTGCGCTCGGAGATGAAAAGCCATATCCGCTCGAGATCGGCCGACGTCACGTTGGGAGAAACCTGACACCAGTCACGCGTGAGGCAAGAAAATAAGTTAGCAGCTGAGGCGTCGTCAGTACTTCGCGAGCCGGCGTCCGCAGTCGTGTTGTCTGACCCCGGGATGTGAGACGACGAGAAACGAAGATTCCACTTCACCTCCCAAATACCGAGAAGACGGATAAGTGTCTGTGCGCGTGAGTTTGTGGCTACCATTTTGGACTGCCAGCTCACTGCCGACATGTTGTCGATGCGGAAGTGCACATGTACTGGTCGGGATGCTGCCCGCGTGCCGTAGCGGCTCGACCAGGCGGCCCCCCACGTGTGCGCTGCCATAGTTGCCGACAACAATTCCCGATAATTGATGTCGAAACCCACAGATGATCGATCTTTGGCTCTCGAGATCAACGCCCGCTCCTCATTGGAAAACCGGTAGACGAGAACGGTCCTGTCCGCGCGAACGAGAGCACACAACCCAGTGTCGGAGGCAAGCATCTCAACCACGACGTCGGGCTGGGGATGGCGTCCAAAATAAGCCAGTGAAACACCATTCAATACAGGGCGGCCCAGAATATGTAACCACCACAGCAGATCCTGCCGCATTGAATCCGTGACAGGTACAGTTTGCCACCGGTGGAGGTGGCGCTCCTGTTAAGGAGGCGCTGAAGAAAGGAACGAGCCGGACTAATGCACGTAGCCACATGACGAAGGCACCCAAGGAGTGAACGGTACTCCGAGCGACCTAGCGTGGATAACTGGAGTGCCGTAGTCACGATACGTTTGGCTTTCGCGATCTTGGTTGCTGGCATTAAAATCAGACCCTGCGAGGTGTCAAAAATAAGGCCCAGCGCCTTTTGACGTGTGCTCCAGCGGGTGAACTTGTCTTCGTTGATGGCACGAGGCCCCAAAACGGTCAGCATAGCGTAGCGAAGGGACTGCTCAGCGTCCTGGCAGTTCGAGCCCTCGTCGGCTGCGACATTAATATGGTCGTCCACCCAGCAGTAGTTGAAGAAACCCGTTGGGTTGTGTGTGTTGGTAGTATGACCGGGGACGTGTGCGATAGCCCCACCGACCACACCGTAGTTACCGGGGGATCCTGACCAGCCGAAAGCTGCCGACATGTCGATTACGAGCGCGGTGTCGCGGTCGAGGCACCCGCCAAAAAGGTGGACTGAGTTGCTGTGGATGCCAACGTGTTTGAAAGCCGACGCAACGTCGCCAGCTTGGACAGCGATATCAGCTCCCGGGAACTGTACTTCTTGCCGTGTAATCTCCATGGCAATCGCATCGCAGTGAACGAAATCCGGTTGGCACACCGCCACCTGGTCCGTGAAGTCGTTGATCGAGTGCTCAACAGGGTGTGATAAATCATGGATGACGCGACCGGTGGTTGCTCTGTCGCCGTCCCCTTTGTCCACTACTCCGAATGAGCTAATATGAACTTCGGTCCAAATTGAAAGAAGGTCGATGTCGACCACACTACAACGCCAGGCATCCTGCTCTTTCCGGATGTTGCGCACGAGCACAGCGTAGCGCTCATCCGCTGAACCATGGTTGCGAGGCCGACACTGCTGAGGGGGTAGTGGCTGTAATAGCGGTACTTGCGCTCCCGCCTCTGCGATGGCAAGAAGCTGTGGGAGGTGTTCATATCCGGCAAAGGTTGCCGATAGTACGGCCGGTATCATGCCTTTGTTCGGTCGGTAGTCATCTTTGGTCTGGCCGCGAAGGAGCTCGGCGAACTGAGGAAGAGGCATACGCGTGCGTCGTACGAACTCCGACAGCGTTGCCTGTAACTCTTTGTTTAATCCTTCGCTGGAGGACCGGTCCTCGCCGGAGTCGCATGCTGGGAGGGTAAGTCCGACAGCACGCAACGCGCGTTCGATCCGACGGATACGAATTGACTCCAACAGTTCGAGCCAAGCCAAGGCGGCTACTGTCATGCGCCTCGTTGCGGCTACCGTTGGCGCGGGTCGGAAACAAGGCGCAGGGGGCTTAGAGAACAGTGGAGAGCAGATGTGACACGTTCGACTAGAGGAATTGGTGGCGTCTCCGGCTGTGGTTGACAGTCCGGCAGTCGCCGTGCTGTGGATCGCCTCCAGCGTGTTCTGTACGGTGACGTCCAAGCCGGGGGGCATTGGTGGCTGAGCGCCATGGGGCTTCAGTGGTTGGGTGCCGTGGGGCGACCCGTGTAAACCCGAATTGCCGTGGGGCGAATTCGGTTGAAATTGTGAGGTACTGATGATGGTATCATGCTGGTAACAGCGCCCATGTTCGACGGGTTCCAGTGACTGCGCTCCACATCCCGCCGGCGGCTGTATGGACGTTGGCGCAAAATATGAAACCACACTGCTGCCGGTGGACTGGGACTCGACGGGGGAACTAAACTCTGTAGCAGAAAGATGCGTGTATTGGTGCAAACTGATTGTTGACCGAA